AAGATCTGTGAAAAATATGCACGAGCATGCCTCCCGACTCACAGGAAAAAATGAAAATGAGAAGCAGAGACTGTACAGAGCATAGACACACAAAGATAATTCATTTTAGCCCTTGGTGTGAAGTGTCCATTGTCCCCCCCCCCCCCCGCCTAAAACCCATTTGCCACCCTTCCCCTTCGTACGAGGTGAGCAGCTGAACTTGCAGGAAAACGTGTGGTGCTGTAGACGTACAGGAGGGTTGGTTTAATACCAATCGGCGGCAGAAACAAAACCCTCGACCCCTCTACAAGCTTGCCATGAAAAGTTTTGAACAGTTCAGGGTTTCCGCCAGAAAAGTTGTCGACCCCAGCCACCATTTAACATTGCTGATGTTGCACCTATAGCAGAAACATTTTGGCCATTTTGTTGAGTGATAACAAAACAACCCTGTTTCTGGGTCCAAATGTAAAATTAATGGTGTTAAAATGGGATTTTTGGCTTTTGAAAATGATTGCAACTCCATCTGAAATCTTAATAACTGCCGTCCAAAATCACTTCACCAAAAATCAGAAACTATTTAAATGTTTTCCAACAAAGTGTCTTTTTATTCTCCAAAGCTAGCTAGCCTAGCCATGAGCTAACGGTGTCTCAGACACAAAATATATAGCGTGCCAACTAAGATTTCAGTGTAAGCAATCAACTTAGGCTCAGGACTTTTTACATTTTTCATAACCTTGCGTCATGGATGAGGCTCAGACGTTATCTTAGGTGAAGTGCGTTCCATTTTTATTATCTTCTTCCTGTCAATGAAATCACAGGAAACACAAAAGATGGACTTGGCTTCCTGGTCTGATTCAATGAAGACATTTGTCTCAGCAAGAAACCTCAACTTGGACTTTATATTAGTTTGTTTTAGACTAAACAAAGCTCTAATGGCAAATGGCACCAGTTATATGTCAACTAGCTTAGCTTCACTTGACAAGATCAACTAGCTTAATGCTAACTCCAGCTTAGTAAACCTTCTTTTTTGTGATTGCTGGTATGTTAAACTTTACTGGGAGAACGAGCGCACAGATCCTTTTATTCAAGCTTGGAATTTAAGTTTCCTCAATGACTTTTTTCTTTTGGGACCCAGAAATGCCCAATGATGTCAGACTTAATATGCAGCTAGCTTTCACTTTATATCTCTGGATACAAATTGAGTGACAAAAAAAGTTTTTTACCCACTTTACTGTGCTATACCACCCACAGAGCCCACAATATGGTTGTAGTTGTTCACTTATGGCTAGGAATCATGTAGCTTACTGTCATTTGTAAATAGTAGATGTCCACCAAACCTAATGCTTTAAGTTCAACATTGTTTTTTATTTTCTTTTTTAAATTGTTGTACTATTAGCTGATCTGAAAAATGGGTAACAATAACACCAGGATAATAAGATACATTAGCTAACGTTACAAATGTAGCTTTTCTTTAAAAAAGTGTGGGAGGTGGTCAATTAAAAAGCTGCTAAGTCTGTGGTAGACTGGCGGAAACCCTACGGTTGCTGAAGAACGTTTGGTCAGTCGGTCAATGTATGAGATTGGCTCAGTTCAAAACTTTCTTAGCCTACGAATTACACAATGTTTCATAGATGATATACACCCACTAGATTTCACTGTACAAGAGCATAGTTAGCTAAAATCATACTGCAAAGTGGACTTCACTTGTAAAGCCCGGTCACACCAGAAACACAGGCGAACATCTGGATTCAAAATGTTTTAGAAGTAGCAACTCGAGACATTCACAATAGCTCCTCGACCTTCTTTATTCTTTATCCTTCCCTTTATCATTAACTGGCACTTAGTTCTTGGGAGTTTTCGTGAAATGCTGGTGTGACTGGGCCTTTATGGCAGCGCTTCGACTTGCTTTTTGTCTCTAAACGGCTCATTTTATTTATTTATCTTTAGCTTGAGTGAATCGAGCTATAAAGAAATCAAATGAGAGTTAACTGCTGCGTTATTTCAGCAGTTTTACTTTGATAGTCCAATCACGACTAGAGAAAGAAATGACAGACTGATCACATGACCAGTCTTTACATTACAAAGTGGCTGGCTAAAGGATAAATATGTTTTCAACTAAGTATACACAAAATCCTACAGGGCTCAGTTATGCTAATATTATTATTATTAGTAGTAGTAGTAATAGTATCAGGTTAATTTCATACAAAAGCAACTTGTTTGGTTTTAAATACTTGTATAAATACACTGACAAGCAAACCCGTCTGCCTCTGCCTCGGCGCTCTGACATCCACAGTGGATTCAAAGATGGATGAATTTCTGCCGGAGCACTCGAGGACTCAGAGGACAGCGCAACAAAACTCAAGGACAATTCAACAAATTTGACTCAGTGGATATCCTTCAATAAAAGTCACAGCGAATACCCAGCAGCCTTTAACTGCTTTTTTCTTTTCTTTTTTTTTTTTTTGCTCTTTACTTGGGCATTTGTCTTCTCTTCACAAAGAATAGGTGAAATTTCTCTTTTCCAATAAACGAGTGACGAAGAGAGAATCAATTGGCTTTACTCACTAATGTTGCCATCCACCACTTTTTATTTTATGAAGGGGGCTGTGTGCAGCTGAGAGCAGCCCTGTGAGGGAGCCAGCTGATATCAAACCACTTGCTTGTTTCTTTGCCATTTCCTGCT